ACCCTGGGATTAGTCTCCCCTCACCAGGACCAACCCAGGCAAGAAGAAACAAGAATCAAAATCCAGGCCAGACTGCAAATGCCCAAGYCCTGACTTATAACAGCACGACCTGAAAGGGGTATACACACTACAGGCTGGAAGCAGAAGCGTTTCAGATTTCAGAGATTTTTGAATTTTAAAGTATTTGCATATTTGAACATTTTGAGCATCCTGTTTGTGATAAAAAAATTATATTTCAAGACAGATATGCTTGAATCAGAAGGCTGATGTAAGAGGATCTCAAGTTTGACACTAGCCTAGGCAAATTAATAAGACCATGTCTCAAAAATAAAATAAAAAGGCTAGGATGTAGCTCAGTGGTGGAGTACCCCTGAGTTCAATTCTMAGTACCGCAAAAAGAAAACAAAAGGGAAGTTCTTCCTCCCCAGATGGAGTATTCTGTGGGGCTAATGCCCACTGGGGAGGTAAGATCACGCCTTCACCTGAATCCTCACACTTCAYTCCTTGAATTGAGTGATACCGCTCAACTATTTTCAGGCCTGAGACTTCTGCTTTCTCATCCACTAGGGAAAGTCCAGAGGAGAAAAGAGGAACCAAGAACTCATGGTCTAGAAAGCAAGAGGTTTATTTTGAGATTTCCGTGTGTACTTGATAAACTCAGAAACCAACTTTAGGTTCAGGCCTGGTTAATATTAACACCTCTGAGAAGTTGGCTCCTGAAAGCCAAGTAGAAGACATGGTGTACAGCTCAGAGGTAGAGCCCTTGCCTAGCGTGTGTGAGGCCCTGGGTTCCACCCTCAGTGCTAAAAMAAACAAACAAACAAAAAAGCAGGCAAAGGCACAGGCACAGGACCAGCCCTGCCCTGCTTCCAGCAAACATGGCCAGCATGGGCCCAGACTTCCAGGCTGTCGTCCTGTCCCATGGACTCGCACCAAGAAGACAATACTGTAGTTCCCTCAGTTGAGGTCCCTCCCTCTAAACCAGCTAACAGAGAAAAGAAACAGCCAATAGCTCCCAAGGAGGGACAACCCCTGGTTCATCACCTTTAGACCCAGCAGTAGGCTGACGACAGAGGGATGGATGGCCTCTGATTCTTACAAACTGCGCACCTTAAGCAAAACACTTAACATTTGCAGGACTTGTTTTCACCTGAAAGAAAAGAACAGCAATAAGAAAACTATTTATTGAGCTTTACTGAGCACCAGATCTACACACGTCCCATTTACTCCTCCTGACAACCCTGTGAGGAGAGTCACCCTTCTCATACACATGAGGAAACAAGGCTCAGAAAGAAGAAGTAATGAGCACAGGACCCAGTAAGTGGGCAGAGTTTCAAAGCCCTATTTGTCTGTCTCCAAGGCYAATAGCTCCATAATCTCCCCTTGACCATAGGTTGTCAGTCCAAGTGAAGAAACATGTAAAGACATCATGAGGGCTGGGGTTGTGGCTCAGTGGTAGAGCGCTCGCCTTGCATGTGTGAAACCCTGGGTTCAATCCTCAGCACCACATAAAAATAAATAAAGGTACTGTGTTCATCTACAGTTAAAAAAATATTTTAAAAAAATATGAGAGCCAAGCATTATAACTCTTCTTAGTTATTGCTGTCATAGGATTTTTATCCTAACAAAAATATGGATGGTAGCTGGGTGCCGTGGCACTTGCCTGGGGAGGTTAAGGCAGAAGGATCATTTGAGCAAAGAAGTTCCAGGACAGCCTGGGTCACACAGTGAGACCTCATCTCAAAAAACAAAAACCTAGGGCTGGATTTGCAGAGCACTTGCTTCACATGTGTGAGGCCCTGGGTTCAATCCTCAGCATCACACAAAAATAAATAAAACAGAATAAATATATTGTATCCATCTACAATTAAAATATATGTGTATTTGTATATTTAAAAAAAAAAACAAAACCTAGAGCTAGGTGCAGTGGTGCATGCCTATAACCCCAGTGGCTTGGGAGGCTGAGGCAGGAAGATCACAAGTTCAAAGCCAGCCCCAGCAACTTAGTGAGGCCGTAAGCAACTTACTGAGACCCATCTCTAAATAAAATATATAAGGGGAAAAAAAAGGAAGGGGGAACTGGGGATGTGGCTATGGTTAATCATTCCTGAGTTCAGTTCCTGGTACCAAAAAATACCAAAACAAGATCTAAAGCTCATGGTCCTGGCATTTGTCCAGTCCTCTCCATAGCCCTGATTACATGCCACGTCGGGCATCCATCTAAGCAGGAACAGACACAGACTCTTACAAAATGATCCAAGTTAGCAGTGATCTTTGAGAGACTAAGGTCTAAGAGGCAGGGAAGAAAAACAAGCTTCCTTAAGGAAGGCTGGCAGGAGAAAAATCATGCCACCCAGCTTCATGACTCAACTACTAAGCTCAAAGATTTGCTACCCAGTCTCAGAGCTGCCTCCCCAATTCCTGCAAAGGCTGAAGAAGCACATGTTTAGCTAACACACCTTCCACTCCATTGGTGAAATGTTAAGTCAGCATTAAGGAGCTCTCGGTCAGCAGGCTCCATCTATCTGACAGTATCTCTTTCTACATTTTTTTCCTTTGTAAATAAATATAATCCAAAAGGGACTGTATCCCTATCCCTAGAAGTTCTAGATTACTTACTGCTCTCTGACACAGTGATGACACTTTCCTGATAGAAGGCAGGAAACTTAAAACTGCTTTGCTCATAATACACAGGAGAGCCCTCCTTCCTGAAAGTGCAAAAGCAGAAGAAATGAAGAATGCAGTGAAAATTACRTGCAAATGCTGAGAACATGCACTCATTTGTTCTAATACAGCAGGCTGGGCTAGGACTCCCGAATGTGCCTATCATTCCTGTTCTGCCCTCACTGCACAGAGCCCCTTCCTAAGGTAGGAGTTAGTAAACTCTTATGCAAGAACAAGGYAATATATATTTTAGGCTTTGCAGGACATATGGTCTTTGTCACAACCATGTCATGAACTTTGCTGATGTAGTGCAGAGCAGCCACAGACAATAACTTAGCAAATAAGCATTACTGGGTTCCAATAACACTTTATTTAYGGGCACTAAAATCTGAGTTTCATGATTTTCATGTATCACAAAGTCTACCCTTTAAATTGTTTTCAGACATTTAAACATGTAAAAACCATTCAGGAAGGCCAGATTTGGCCTGTGGGTTATAGTTTATTGACTCTGATCAAAGGAGTCTATTCATTAATCCAATACTTTCCTTAATTCCTTGGCAGAAAGCATTCCCCTAGACTGAGCTAAACCAGGATCAGGCCTAGAAGTTAGAAATGAGTATCTACTCCAGGCACAGTGGCACACATGCCTTAATCCCAGAGACTGGAGAGCTTGAGGGAGGAGGACTGCAGTTGGGGGTTGGCTGGGCAATTTAGCAAAACCCTAAGCAACATAGTGAAATCCTGTCTCAAAATAAAAAAATAAAAAGATCTGTAATGTAGCTCAGTGGTAAAGCTTCCCTGAGTTGAATCCCCAGTACCAAAGAAGAAAGAAGTATTGCCCATTCACCATTCAACCCTTAATCTTAGGACAAAGCTCTATTTCAAACTCCTGTAATGTTACTTTTATAATTTACAACCACAGATGAAGGGACAGAGAGTCAGTTTGTTGCTTTTCCTTCATAGATGGATAGGGGGGCTTTTAAGAATCCTAAAACTCAAGCCTAGTGTGGTGGCATATGCCTGTAATCTCAACACTCCAGAAGCTTAGGCAGGAGGATCCCAAGTTTGAGGTCAGTCTCCACAATTTAGTAAGGCCCTGTCTCAAAATTAAAYTATAAAAGTGCTGGGGATGTAGCTCAGAGGTAGCACGCCCCTTGTTCCATCACCAGTACTGGGGGGAAAAAAATTCTGAAACCCAAACCTTGGGTTCAAGCCCTAACCCTTTATCTTAACAGATCAAAAACACTGTTAACACTGGTGCCCAAAGAAGGAAAGTGACTTGGCCAAGGCGACCGGCTGAGCTGGTACAGGCACTCTGGTTTACTCCTCCTCAGCTCCTAGGRCTCCTTACTTCCAAAGGTAGCTTCGTAAGTCGGGATTCAGGAGTGTGTAGCCCAATATTCCAGCCTGGAGGTAGGTAAACAAAGTCCTCCTTGCACCACGGATCACACAGACAGTCCCTCAGACTGCGTCAGGTCTAACCATTCTAGGCACCCAGGGGCCCTATTCTGACTCCTCTGCTAGGCGATCGGTCCCAGCAAATCTTGGGTGAATAACAGGTGTGCGGGCTCCGCCAGCTTTTTGAGGCTTCCGAAAGCGTTCGTGCCTTTTATTACCACCAGCTGTGGAAGGAAGGGTACGGAGAAGAGAGTCCATTTCCTAAAAGGGAAAACTGAGGCCAAGCGAGGGGTCGCGACAGCGCGAGAGGAGGTAGTGGTAGTAGCGGAGTCAGCAGYGGAACCCAGGTCCCTTAACTCCCACCCCGGGCTCTTTCTCACCCCTAACCACAGTGGGACGCCACGGGGCCGGGGACTCCGAAACTCGCCTCTCTCAGCCCGACACCAGAACCGCCACTCCCCAGTGTCCTGGAAAGTAGAGGTCCGACTCCCCGGCAAGCCCGGTTCAGCTGGCAGTGCAGCGCCCCGCGCCGCCTCCCGCTCTTATAGGCTCACAGCACTTCCGGTGGCGCGCGAGGCCGCCTGGGAAATGCAGTCCCGGGCGCGGGATCGCCCGCTCCCTGCGCGGCCAGGTGCCGGCTCCCCGACCCGGTTCCTCCACCGGCGTTTCTTCCCCACGCCCGARGAGCGTCACAACGCGTCTGCCCTGTCCTTCCACCCCATCGAGGAGACGGAAATGTTCAGGTTGATGCACTGCTTGCCGCCAGGATCAGACCCTAAGCAAGGTCTCCTGAGACGTGGGCGGGAGCCCTGGTCAGCGAAAGGCGACGCTGGGACGGCCAGGACCAGGCGGGCCCGGGAAATCGAAGGCCCGAACATGGAGGCTGGGTTGCGGTAGAGAGGGGAGAGGAAGCCGAGGTCAGTTCGCAGAAAGAGCCCGCGTCCGCCAACTACTTCCGGAATTTGAAGCCGGCTTCCGGAAGCCGGAATGGTGTCCCCATGACAACCGACGTTGGTTCTTTGAGGTGAGAGTGAATGATGAGCAGTGGGGAGAGTGCCCAGAAATCTGGATTTTTGTTGCCGTTCCTTTTGGTTGGGCTTTTTGCCACGCCAAGCCCTTTTCTCAGTGGTTAAGAAGGACGCGGGAAGCTGCCCCAAGAAAAGGAGAAGGCCGGAGGTAGCGGTGGACGAAGGGCGGAGAGCGCGGCTGTGCCTCGCGAGTCCCCACCGCCCGACGCTGGAAGAGATGAGCRTCCAAGTCGGGAGAGCCAAGTGTGTCTACCTGACAGACCTCGCCAGAGGCCTGTGAAGTGGTGTGTGCGTCACCTGTGACCAGGAGGAGTGACGAACTCGGACCTGGTGTAGCATGGGGAGAATTCTTTCCTACCTTGCAGAGTTGTTGCAAGGATTAAAAGAAATTATCTTGGTTAACAAGTTGATTCTGGTGCTGGTACCTGGGTGGTAGCTATCAATATTATTTAATTTAATGTGGGGAAACTCAAGCTCAGAGAAGCCACATTCATCCATCCAGTAAGGTGGGACTAAACCCGGTGAGCTAGTTGAGGGCTTTAACCTTTTAGAATCTCCATGCAAATAGAAATTATGTCTATGAAAATGCTTATTTGTAGGRTAGTCCTAGAATTAAGTGGTTATAAAAAATAATTTGTGACTTTTTTATAGTAGAATTCGTTTTGATATGATTGTACAAGCATGGAATAAATCTTATTCTAGTCAGGCTAAATTTAGAGTGTAAATTTTAAACATTTTTACAGATGCTAATTTAGTCTCTAACACTTTAAAGCACATTGAAAATTTGATTTGATCTAAGCTGCAGGATCACAGAGCAGCTTGTGGGTCTTGAGATGTATGAAAATAAAGGCCCAGCTCCCCTTACTTGATGCCTCTGTATCTCTTCCACAACTGTAACATAAAGTTTTTTTAGAGAGCACTGTTTCCTCCCAGCTCTTTCTGCCCTTGCCACTTCCATGTGGACATATTTTTCCTACCTCCTTACATATCAGTCTCTCAGACTTATAGACCTGCATATACACATATCTGTCTATGTAAGAGGCAGCTTAGTGCAGGGGTTAAGAACACTCTGGTTATGTAGCTCAGTGGTAAAGTGCTTTCCTAACATGTGAGAAGCCCTGGGTTTGATTCTCAGAACAGAAGAAGGAAAAAAAAAAAAAGGCAGACTCAACCCTGGGCCACCTGGATGAGAACTCCAATTCTGCCACTTACTAGCTTTGTGACCTTGGACAAATTATTTTGTCTTTTCAGTTTTCTCACCTGTAAAATGGGGAAAGTAATAAACATGTTTTCTATTTCATGAGGTTATTATGAGATTTGAATGTTACTGCTTACAACAGTCCCTGACTCACTGCAAGTAATGTATATGACTGCTGTTAACATTACTATTGCTACATGATCAGGCAGACTCTTCTCTGAAGTACCCCTCGGTTTTTTGGTTAGAGAAGTTCTGCATTTAGAAGGATCTGGCATGGAGAAAGTTTGACTGTGAGGGTCCCCAGAAGGAATGACAAGGTGGGTTTTTTGGTTGTTGATTTTGTTAACTAATGTATCCCAATCACCTGGAATCATGCCTGACATACAGTAGTAGGTGCTCAGTAAATGTTTATTATATTAATGGATTTCTAACCTTGCCTCTCTTTTTGCCCCAACAGGTCCTTGTCTGAGAACAAGGGCAACAGCTCTTGATTTGGAAGACTTAGACACTTCTCCTCAGTGTTGGGGAGAGAACCAAGACCTCTTTTTAAGGGAATTGTGGAATGTGCCCTTGGAGGCCCAAGAAAGCAGAAGAAAGATGCTTCAGACCAGTAACTACAGCCTGGTGCTGTCCCTGCAGTTCCTGCTGCTGTCCTATGACCTCTTTGTCAATTCCTTCTCAGAGCTACTCCGAATAGCTCCTGTCATCCAGTTGGTGCTCTTCATGTGAGTGCAGAGAGTAGATCTGGAAAGCTGAACTTAGGCAGTTTGAAGGCCCTGCTTAAGTTCATGACTTAGCATTTTTAAAGTTATTAGTAGGTGGGCTTGGATTGTAGCTCAGTGGTAGCATGTGTACTTACATGTATACTTACATTCATGAGGCCCTAGATTCAGTCCCTGCCAAATGAAATAGTTATTATCAGAGAAATACCAGGGAGAATAAAATTTAACAATGTCCTGAGTTCTCATGGTATACAAACGTAGTCACAGATCCTCTTTTTATATACTTTTTTTTTTCTGTTTATATATATGTCTAACAAGAGTTGGAGAACAGTTTAGATAGGAAATGAAGGTCTGCTAACCCTGTCATTTTGTTCATCTGGGGATAGAATACTGTCTTTGCCTTAAAAGAGAATTACAATATAGCAGGTTGAAAGAACAATCATGAGGCTGAGGCTGTAGCTCTAAAGTGCTTGCCTCGCATGTTTGAGGCACTGGGTTCAATCCTCATCACCACATAAAAATAGATACTGTGTGTTTATCTACAACTAAATAAACATTTTTTTAAAAAAAGAACAATCACATTAAYAATATATGACTCCTGTAGGATGGAAAGTGTTGGCATTTATTCTCCACAATAATTTACAGATTTCGTGAGGCAGTCCATAAGCTGCAAACCACACTCCTGGAAGGAACTTCCTTTGTTCAGTGAGCATACATTGGCCTGGAAGCCAGTGTTCTAGTTGCAGTGGTAACCTGACCAGTTCCCCCTCAGGGTTTCTGTTCTCCTGGAGAGACAATGGATGAGTATAGCAAAATAAGATTTTAATATAGTGACATCAGACGTTGGATGTAAACTAGCTGCAGTGAGAGGGGGGATTTACTTTAGTTAACGGGGTTACAGGAAAGTTTTTCTAAAGAGGGGGAACGTTTGAACTGGGACTTGGATGGCACGAAGGCACTGGCCACCCAAAGATGGGGAAAGTCCATTGTTGTCTTTCCAGATGAAATCATGTGGCAGGACRAGGTTATGTGACACACAGATTTGGTGTGTGTGGGAGGAAACCAGGTTCTCAGAAATGCCTCGTTGGTTTATTAAATTAGGACTGTCAGAGGAGCACATCGTGTCTGTGGGCTGTAATTCTGGGTAATTGCAGCTTCATGTCATTTGGGTCCTAAAGCTGATGCTTTCGGTGAGGGTTCTGGGTGACTAAATCTCAAGGCAGGACAGATCTCATGATGTCCCTTAGGCCTTAGGGCCAGCTCTTGGGTCCTCACACATTTGGCCGTCTTATGTTTTATATGTCTGCAGCATCCAGGATATTGCAATCCTCTTCAACATCATCATCATTTTCCTCATGTTCTTCAACACCTTCGTCTTCCAGGCTGGCTTGGTCAACCTCCTATTCCATAAGTTCAAAGGGACCATCATCCTGACAGCTGTGTACTTTGCGCTCAGCATCTCCCTTCATGTCTGGGTCATGGTAAGAGTGGAGCTCTGAATTCTCAGATCTTTTTTTTTTTTTTAATATTTATTTTTTAGTTCTCGGCGGACACAACATCTTTGTTGGTATGTGGTGCTGAGGATCGAACCCAGGCCGCACGCATGCCAGGCAAGCGCGCTACCGCTTAAGCCAAATCCCCAGCCCTCAGATCTTTAAAGAGCTAATAAGATCTTTTCTCTGGGAATCCAGCATCACTCATGTGCTTCCCTCTGCCTCCTTGGTGGAAGATAGGTGAAATAAAGTGATGGGCTAAAGCACTGGGCACATGAGAGTTTCATAAGGCACTTGGGTCTAATTCTCTGTGTTGAAGAACAGCCTTATCGAAGAGTCTAAGGACTCTCCTGGACTATTCAGTGTACCTTTGCACCAAAGAGGCCTGTCAGAGCTAAAACAGGAAGTTGAATCTGTTTTAGCTACCTGGGTAGATGGGTTGATACAGGGTACTGCATAAATTCTTCCATTTCTGGATATCTTGTGCATCTTTCATGTGGTGTTTTTTTTTTTGTTTTTTTTTGATGGGCTGGGCTGGGGACATGGCTCAATGGTGGGGTGCTTGCTTGTACCTAGCATGCATGAAGCTCTGAGCCACAATCAATCAATCAAACAAAATACTCAGGGTCTCTAGCCCCTTCATTACTAGAGTTTTTTTGTTTTGATGAGCTGACTGGGGACAGAGTTTGTGATCTCATGGAGATAAATAAGCTTATAGGGAAGRAACAGAACAATGTTGAAGTCTGAAAGTGGTACCAGCAGGTGACTTTTTTTTAAACTGGGAATTAAACCCAGGAGTGCTTTACTGCTGAGCTACATCCCCAGTCTTTTTTATTTTGAGACAGGGTCTTGTTATGTTGCTGAGGATCTTGCTAAATTGTTGAGGTTGGCTTCGAACTTGTGCCTCCTGCCTCAGCCTCCTGAGTTGCTAGGATTGCAAGCATGTGACACTGTGTCTGCTTCCTGCAAGGGATTTTGTACTCCAGGTGCTGGAACATAAATAGGTCCTCCTGGCTTTGTCCGCTAAAGCTGTTGATCTGATTACACTGAGTGTTCCAAAGCTTTTATCTGACAGGAGCTGAGCTTGACATTTTCAAGGCAAGACAGCAGCAGAACTCCTGATACAGTCCATATCATTTCTGCTTGGCAAAGGCAGTGGAGTGAAAAGGGATAAATACCTCAGTTCAGACTTCCTCCCTCAGGGTTAAAGGATATCCTCTTTGCATAAAAAAAGGGAGCTCCCTGTGCCTGCCTGTAATCCCATGGGCTCAGCTCCTGAGGCTGAAACAGGAGGATTGCAAGTTCAAAACCAGCCTCAGCAAAAAGTGAGGTGCTAAGCAACTCAGGGAGACCCTGTCTCTAAATAAAATACAAAATAGGGCTGGGATGTGACTCAGTGGTTGAGTGCCCCTGAGTTCAATCCCTGGTACCAAAAAAAGGGGAGGGAGCTTGAGGGGCTAGAGTTATGGCTCAGTGGGAAAGCACTTGCCTCGCACATGTGAGGCACTGGGTTCCATTCTCAGCATCGCATATAAATAAATGAATAAAATAAAGGTCCACCAACATCTAAAAAATATTAAAAGAAAAAGAAAGGAGGAGCTTGAGGCTCCTTTCAGAAATACTCCTTCAGCCAGGATTTGGTGGTGCACACCTGTAATCCAGGCAACTTGGGAGGCTGAAACAGGAGGATTGTGAGTTCAAGACCAGCCTCAGCAATTTAGCTAGGCCTTAAGCAATTTAGCAAGACCCTGTCTCAAAATAAAAAGGTCTTGGGATGCAGCTCCACTAACAAAGGATTCAATCCTCAGTACAAAAAAAGAAACACTTCTTGGCCTTACAGAAAGCAGGAAGGAGGGGGGAATAGCATGAATTTCTACCAAGTGGCATCTCTGCCTCTAAACAAGTTGGAGACGTTAGAGCCACATGCAGTTATTAACCCTTTCCTTTCTATTCATATCTTCTTCAGAACTTACGCTGGAAAAATTCCAACAGCTTTGTTTGGACAGATGGACTTCAAACGCTGTTTGTATTCCAGAGACTGGGTAAGGACCACAGCAGCCCCAGGCTTACTTATTGTGCTGGCCTTGATCCTGGCCTCGTAGCCCCTCACAGCTGGCCTGGGATGGTTGGGACAGTCATGTCAAGAACAGAAGACTCCTTGCGGGGAGACAGTGGGAAGCCCTGAGGCAGGCCCTCAGCTTGGAGGCTGGGTTCCCACCCTTAAAGGAGTTCTCAGGGTCACCCCAGAGGCTTCTTCTCTGCTCTGTCCCCAGCGGCGGTGCTGTACTGCTACTTCTACAAATGGACGGCGGTGAGACTGGGCGACCCACGCTTCTACCAGGACTCTCTATGGCTGCGCAAGGAGTTCATGCAAGTCCGAAGGTGACTGCTTCTTGTCACACTGGTGGCTGCCTTTCCTTCCTGATAGAAGCTCTGCAGGAAGGGTCGGCCTCTGCACCAGGAAATAGCTGGACTTCCCTAGGACATGCTTGGGCCAGTTGTGTTCTCACAAGTTCCCCAACAGACTCCTGTGCGTAGTGCCTCCTCTCCCCTACCTCAGTTCCGCTCTTTCCTTCCTTCCCTGCCCTGCTCCACTCCTTCTGCACCCCTCCCCTCTGCCGAGGCTGTGGCTCACCCTTTGAACCTACTAGTCCCCACCTTCCTGACACCACGCTCTGGTGACCGAAGGATGCAGAGTGGTAGCTGGGTGTTCTTGACTGATCCCCTCTTAGACATTTAGATTTTTATACCTAAGATAATTTTTTACATTTTGTAAATAGGAAATAAATTAAATTCTTTTTTTCATAAATGGTGGACTCTGTCTAGCTAGATCGCTCCATGGTTAAGAGATATACCAAGTCCTACCCTCAGCACCTATTTGACCCAGTGGGCAGAYTGAGCCAGAGAACAAATATGGACATTTATTGAGTTCATTATGAGATAAAGTATTTCTGCAGAAGTTCAGGATGTAATTATCTGCTGCCTCACCCCCTGGATTCCAGACATCTATCTATGCTTCATTCAGACACTCTCCCTATCAGAGGCTGAGATTGTCCTCAGAAGAATAAAATGCTCCTTAGCTTTTTTGGCAGAAGACATTTAAAAATCCCAGTGACTCAGGAGGCTGAGGCAGGAGAATTGCAAGTTCAAAGCCAGCCTCAGAAATTTAGCAAGGTCCTAAGCAACTTGGCGAAACCCTGCCTCTAAATAAAACATTAAAAATGAGTGTAGGGGAGATGGGGTTGTGGCTCAGCAGTACTCGCTTGCACATGCGAGACCGTGGGTTTGATCCTCAGCACCACATAAAAATAAATAAGTGAAATAAAGGTATTGTGTTCAACTACAACTAGAAAAAAAAAAAAAAAAAGGCTGGAGTTGTAGCTCAGGGTAGAGCACTTGCCTAGCAGGTGTGAGGCAAGTAAAGGTATTATGCCCATCTACAACTAAAAATATTTTTAAAAAAAAAAGGTACTGAGGATGTGGCTCAGTGGTTAAGCACCCCCGGGTTCAATCCCTAGTACTAAAAAAAAAACAAAAAAAATTCACATGCTAATCCCAGCAATTCCAGAAGCTAAAATAGGAGAATCACAAATTCAAGGCCAGCCTCAGCAATTTAGCAAGACCCTTAGCAACTTAGCAAGACCTGGTCTCAAAAATAAAAAGACCAGTGGCTCAGGAGGCTAAGACAAGAGGATCACAAGTTCAAAGCCAGCCTCAGCAAAAGCAAGGCMCTAAGCAACTCGGCGAGACTCTGTCTCTAAATAAAATACAGAATAGGGCTGGGGGCGTGGCTCAGGGGTCGAGTGCCAATCCTTGGTACTTAAAAAATTTTTAAAAATAATAAAAAGAGCTGCAGATATGACTCAGAGGTAAAGTACCCCTGGGTTCAATCCCCTATACTAAAAAAAAAAAAAAAAACAGTAAAAATAAAAATTCATGTGCTATTTTCTGGTGGCAAAATAATGTGTGACAAACCACTGGCAGACTTAAGTGGGATACAACAAAAAACAGTTCCCTGGCTCCAGAGTCTTGGGGTTCAGCTGATCTGGGCTGGGGCTGGGTGGTTTCTGCTGGACCTGCTCACATGTCTGTCTGTGGTCAGCTGTGGGTGGGCTAGACGGTTGTGATGATCTTGAGGTCCTTAACTGTTGGCTAACCCATGATGACCTCAGGTGAAATGACAGGTTACTCAGCTCTGGGTCACATGATTCATCGTACAGCTGACTAGCCTGTTCACACCACAGAGGCAGAGGAGCAGGAGAGAAAAATCTCCAGTGTGCAATACCATTGTGAGCCTCTGCTTAGACTCCCACTGGGCAAAGCGAGTCATGTGACTGAGCCTATGTGGAAAGTAATACAAGATTCTAGACAGAAGGTATGGCTAAGGGCAGGAGTGGAGCTCAGTAGAAGAGCATGTGCTTGGGATGCTCAGGGGCCTGGATTCAATCCCTTGCACCAAAGGGGAAAAAAAGGCATAGATACAAGAAAGAGTGATCAAAAACAGGCACTATTAATGCAGTGAGTCTATCACACCAAACAGCAGTGGCTCTGTGAGGCTCTCATTCAGAGCCCTTTAGCACAGGGGTCAGCAGACTTTCTGTGAAGGACCAGATAGCAAATATTTCCGATTTTTATGGTGAACCTCCTTGACCCTGACAAAAGAGCATGAAAGCAGCCATAGATAATATGGTACATAAAAAGAATAACCGTGATGGCTATATTCCAATAAAATTATTTATGGGCACTGAAATTTGAATTTCATAATATTCTTTTGTTCATTCTTTCAACCATGTAGAAATGTCAAAACTATTTTTAGTTGTAAAGGACTAAACAAAAACAAGTTGAATTGGCCTCAGGCCATAGTTTGCTGACTTCTTTAGAAGACTGGAATAAATCCTGTGGGAAGAGTATTGGAAAAAATATAGGGACTGTGGACACATCGGTGATCTCAGACACTCAGAAGGCTGAGGATCACAAGTTTGAGGCCAGCCTCAGCTACTTAGACCCTGTCTCAAAAGAAATAAATCAAAAAGGCTGGGGATATAGCTCAGTGGTAGAGCAGTCCTACATTCAATCCCTAGCACCCCTCACAAGGAAGAGTCTAGGTAGGGATGGGCATATAGCAAGTTGGTAGAGTGTCTACCCCACATGCACAAGGCCCTGAGTTCAATCCCCAGCACCACACACAAAAAGAGTCTAGGGGGCTGGGAATGTGGCTCAGGCGGTAGCGCGCT